GTGACAAAAAATGGGGAAAAAAATGGGGAAATTGAGGCAAAAGGGGCGTGTCCACCGGAAGTGGGCGTGGCCTAAAGTGGGCGTGTCCTGGGGAAATATGGGCGGGGTTTTGGGTCAATTTCCATAAATTTTCGGTCCATTTCCACCATTTTTTCCACCATTTTCCCCACCGGAAGTGGGCGTGGCCCAACCGGAAGTGGGCGTGGTCCCAAAGTGGGCGTGTCCAGAATAACTTCCAGTCAAAATTTGGGTCAATTTCGTGCCATTTTTACCCAATTTCCGCCATTTTTTCACCAGTTTTCACCCCAAAAAAAGGTGGGCGTGTCCCAACGGAAGTGGGCGTGTCCCAACCGGAAGTGGGCGTGTCCTAAAGCGGGCGTGTCCTAGAAAATTGTGGGCGGGGTTTTGGGTCAATTTCCATAAATTTTGGGTCAATTTCCGCCATTTTTTCACCATTTTCCCCACCGGAAGTGGGCGTGTCCCAACCGGAAGTGGGCGTATCCTCACCTCCTCTGACCCCTCCCCCTTTTGTTTTCCAGCCCGCCGGGCCACGCCCCTTCCGGGCGACGCCTCATTGGTCACTTTCCGGGGTCACGTGGTCCTGCACACGCTGCTCCGCTGCCGATTGGCCCCGCCCGGCCACGCCCCCGCCCTGGCGGCCGGAAGTGCCGAGGGGGCGGTGCTTGGTAAACAGGAAGGGGCGGGGCTTCACTTCCGGGTGGGATTTTGGGGGCATTTGGGAAAATTTTGGGGATTTTTTTGGTTTTTTGGGGAATTTTGGGGGGATTGGGAAACAGGAAGTGGGAAAACAAAATGGCGGCCGAACCGGAAGGGGCGTGGCTTAACATGGAAGGCACTTCCGGGTGGAATTTTGGGAAAATTTTGGGATTTTTGGGGTTTTTAGGAATCTTGGGGGGTTTGGGAAACAGGAAGTGGCGAAACAAAATGGCGGCCGAGCCGGAAGGGGCGTGGCTTCACTTCCGGGTGGGATTTTGGGGGAATTTTGGCAAAATTTGGGAAAATTTTGGGAAATTTTTGGGTTTTTTTGGAATTTGGGGGGGAATGGGAAACGGGAAGTGAGGAAACAAAATGGCGGCCGAACCGGAAGGGGCGGGGCTTCACTTCCGGGTGGGATTTTGGGAGAAATTTGGGGAATTTGGGAAAATTTTGGGAATTTCAGATTTTGGGGTAAAAATGGGGAAATTTGGGGTAAAAAAGGGAATTTTAAGGTGAAAAATTTGAAATTTTGGGTAAAAAATGGGAATTTTGGGGTTAAAATGGAGAATTTTGGGAAAAAATTGGAAATTTTGGGGTAAAAATGGGATTTTTTTTTAAAAAAATGGGAATTTGGGGGTAAAAAGGGAATTTTGGGTAAAAAATGAGAAATTTTGGGATAAAAATGGGAAATTTAAAAAAAAATTGGGGATTTTGGGGTAAAAAATCCAATTTTGGGGTTGAAAACCTGGAATTTTGGGGTAAAAATTGGGAATTTTGGGTAAATAATGGGAATTTTGGGCTAAAATTGGGGATTTGGGAGTAAAAAATTGGAATTTTTGAAAAAAAATGGAAATTTTTGGGTTCAAAAAGTGCAAATTTCGGGCTAAAAAGGAAATTTTGGGTAAAAATTGGGAATTTTGGGTAAAAAATGGGAAATTTTGTGTTAAAAATGGGAAATTTTGGGTAAAAGTGGGGATTTTGAGGTAAAAAAATGGGAATTTTGGGGGTAAAAAATGGGAAATTTTTGGGTGAAAAATGGGAATTTTGAGGTAAAAAATGGAAATTTTGGGTAAAAATGGAACCGTTTTTAACCGGCTTTTCTCCCATCCCCCCGGTGGGCGTGGCCCCCGCCGGCCCCGCCCCCTTTTTCCCCGCAGTCTATGACGTCATGACGGGGCGGCCCCTGCGGCGTTTGACCAATCACAGCGCCTGCGTCCGTGACGTCAGCTGGAGCCCCCGGGGGGCGGGGCTTGCCACCGCTTCGGTGGGCGGGG